CCCTAACCCTAACCCTAACCCTAAACCCTAACCCCCAAAACCCTACACCCTAAACCCTGACCCTAAACCCTAACCCTAACGCTAACCCTAACCCCTACACCCTAATCCTTAACCCTAACCCTAACCCTAAACTCTAGCCCTAACCCTAACCCTAAACCTTAACCCTAACCCTAAACCCTATGACCTAACCCTAAACCTTAACCCTAACCCTAAACCCTGAACCCTAAACCTTAACCCTAAACCCGAACCCGAACCCTAACCCTAAACCCTCACCCTAACCCTAACCCTAAACCTTAACCCTCAACACAAACCATACCCCTAACCCTAAACCCTAACCCTAACCCTAAACCCTAAACCCTAACCCTAACCCTAACCCTAACCCTAACCCTAATCCCTAACCCTTAACCCTAACCGTAACCCTAAACCCTAGCCCTAGCCCTAACCCTAACCCTAAACGCTAACCCTAACCCTAAACCCTAAGAACTAACCCTAACCCTAACCCTAACCCTAATCCCTAAACCCTAACCCTAAACCCTAAACCCTAAACCCTAACCCAACCCTAAACCCTAAGCCCTAACCCTAAACCCTAACCCTAACCCTAACCCTAAACCCTAAACCCTAACCCTAATCCCTAAACCCTAAGCCCTAACCCAACCCTAAACCCTAGACCCTAACCCTAAACCCTAACCCTAACCCTAACCCTAAACCTTAACCCTAACCCTAACCCTAAACCCTAACCCTAACCCTAATCTTAACCCTACCCCTAAACCATAAAGCCCAATCCTCACCCTAAACCCGAACCCTAAACCCTAACCCGAACCCTAAACCCTGACCCCTCAATCTCTAACCCTTATAATTATTAAACCCTAAATCCTTCCAAACCGGCCGCTATGCAACCCGGCCTCCATCCCTTGCAAAAAATATTATTTCCTGATCATGCGATCAAAAAACGCTATTTTTAACAATGCATTATGCCCGGCCCCGGTCGCGACCCGGGCTCATCCATTGCAAAAAATACTATATCCTGATCATGCGATCAGAAAACCATATTTTTTACAATACAAAGTGCCCGACCCGGGTTGCGGCCGGGTGTGTAAACCGGAGTTTTACATGGGACAAATATTATAAACTCAACATCCTGCTCTTGCAACATGTGGCCATTGTCATATTCCATTGCAAAAAATACGACAAAAGTGCACACGCGCGCGGCGGCCCCGTATGCGTACCGGAGTTTTATATTGTAAAAAATTATAAACTGCAGATTCTGCCTTTGCAAGATGTGTGCATGGTACTATTCCATTGCAAAAATACGACAAAGTGCACAAGCGCGCGGCGGCCGCGCGATCATGGCCAACTCCTTTGGAAATTTTAATGTTTTTTCAGCACTGGTGCTATGCGACAGCCACGCTAGAGGCTGCGGTTATCCAGATGTTGTGGAACTCGCCTTTGTGCTAATCTATGTTATGCTGGCATAGCATACGAGAGGCGTTGCATAGCAAAGCACGTTGAGGTCGGGCGAACCCTAGAGTCCGCCCGACCCGAACCGACCCGCTTGTTAGGGTTCACGCGTGTCAAGTGTATACGCACCATACTTTAATGTCCCGCCCGCCCGACCCGACCCGCCCGTTAGGGTCCGCCCGACCCGACCCGACCCCCCCGTTAGGGTCCGCCCACCCGACCCGATCCGACCCGCCCGTCAGGGTTCACGCGTGTCAAGTGCACACGCACCATACTTTAATGTCCCGCCCGCCCGACCCGACCCGCCCGCTAGGGTCCGCCCGACCCGACCCGACCCGCCCGTTAGGGTCCGCCCGCCCGACCCGACCCGCTTGTTAGGGTTCACGCGTGTCAAGTGTACACGCACCATACTTGAATGTCCCGCCCTCCCGACCCGACCCGCCCGTTAGGGTCCGCCCGACCTGACCCGACCCGCCCGTTAGGGTCCGCCCGCCCGACCCGACCCGACCCGCCCGTTAGGGTCTCCCGCGCGCGCGCGCGGCCGCCGCCTCTTTGCTAAGCGCTTGCTCCCAGGCTTGCTATGGTATGCTATGCTATGCTACAACCACGGTATAACATGAGAGGAGAGATGATCTTTATGTGGGGGTGGAGATGCGGGGGGGATTGATAGCCACCGCAGGTGATTGCCTATGCAGGTAGGTATTCCTGGCCTTGCCCTGTTATACCCGAACCCTAAACCCTAATGCCTAACCCTAACCCTAAGCCCTAACCCTAACCACCCTAAACTCTAGCCCTAACCCTAACCCTAAACCTTAACCCTAACCCTAAACCCTATGACCTAACCCTAAACCTTAACCCTAACCCTAAACCCTGAACCCTAACCTTAACCCTAAACCCGAACCCGAACCCTAACCCTAAACCCTCACCCTAACCCTAACCCTAAACCTTAACCCTCAACACAAACCATACCCCTAACCCTAAACCCTAACCCTAACCCTAAACCCTACACCCTAACCCTAAACCCTAAACCCTAACCCTAACCCTAATCCCTAACCCGTAACCCTAACCGTAACCCTAAAGCCTAGCCCTAGCCCTAACCCTAACCCTAAACGCTAACCCTAACCCTAAACCCTAAGAACTAACCCTAACCCTAACCCTAACCCTAATCCCTAAACCCTAACCCTAAACCCTAAACCCTAAGCCCTAACCCTAACCCTAAACCCTAACCCTAACCCTAACCCTAACCCTACACCTTAACCCTGGCCCTAACCCTAAACCCTAACCCAACCCTAAACCCTAAACCCTAACCCTAAACCCTAACCCTAACCCCAACCCTAAACCTTAACCCTAACCCTAACCCTAAACCCTAACCCTAATCTTAACCCTACCCCTAAACCATAAAGCCCAATCCTCACCCTAAACCCGAACCCTAAACCCTAACCCGAACCCTAAACCCTGACCCCTCAACCCTAACCCTAAACCCTAATGCCTAACCCTAAACCCTAAGCCCTAAGCCCTAACCCTAACCCTAAACCCTAAACCTCGCTCGCCCCGGACCCCTGCGGAAAGGGGAGGAGGGGGGTGGGGGGGGTCCGAACCCCCCCCCCCCCTTCAAGGGGGAGGGGGGGGGGGGTTCCGACCCCCCCCCCCCTTTCAAAGGGGGGGGGGAGGGGTTCGACCCCCCCCCCCCCCCTTAAAGGGAGGGAGGGGGGGGGGGGGGTTCTCGGACCGCCCCCCCCTTAAGGGGGAGAGGGGGGGGGGGGTTGGAATCCCTGGAGCACCCCCCCCCTTTTCAAGTCCAAGGTGATCCACTGGCGCTCTTTCCTAATATAGGGTCTTTTTCCAAACGCGGGAGCCCTCCATGTGAGGGCTGGATGCTCCGTTCATCAAATGGTCCGCCTCCGCGTGTGTGCACGACGCGATACAGGGGAAAGGGAAGAAGCGAAGCGAAGCCAAGGCGGCCGAGGTGCACAAACTTCGGCCCTCGGCGCAAAGCTGGCACCTTCAATCCCCGCGCGCAGCATGGCAGGTGCACGGGACCAGGGCCCAGGTCATGTGGACCTGGACTACTAGCTCGACCAAGGCCACCCTCTGGGCGCTGAACTTTGTGCAATTGTCGGGAAACTGTCGGTTCCCGTGGTCGCCTAGCTGAGTGCTTCCGCCCTGATGGCAGTGCAGCGCGCGGCCTGGAGCAATCGATGGCGTTTCAGAGCGGCTGCTGAAGACAACCTGCGGTAGCCCATGATTTTTCCCCGCTCACGCGACCTCTGGCTCGCTCGCTCGCGCGGTCCTGAGCGACTGCCTTGGCGCTGGGTCTCGACCTGTATCATGTTGTTTGGATCAAGTGGCCTACCTTTGGGGGACATGCATCCTCGTGGACTGTGCAGCCAGCGGCTTCCGCGCGCGATCAGGCTCCATTGCCATCTGGAGCCGCTGCTTGACATATTACTATCCGCAAGGGCACTTAGAAGTCGGCGAGCGGGTCCTGCCTCAGCTTGCACGCCACGTCATTCGTAGCGTCTTCCACCGGATACCTCACGTTTTTGTTGTTTCCTTTTCCTTGTTTATATTACTGCGGTTTCCCGAAACCTTGAACCCAAACTTTTCATTTCTGGGAGGTACTTTTTTACTTCCGCCACCTTCCGCCGCTTTCCTTTTTTGAACACTACGCCCGCAAGTCTCAGCAACAAGACGTCTCGTGGTGGGCCTGGCTAAAAAGTCAACCGGAAGCGGCGCGACAGAAACACTTAAGATCCTGTCGGGGAGCCACGAGGAAACACGTGCGGGGACCGCCGGAGACGAGGAAGGCGGGGTGGCCCCATCTCCATCTCCAACGTGCCACCTTACGTGTTCCCACGGAGAGTGGGAGGGGCTACCCAAGCATAAAAGTTTAGACCAGCAGCAACAACGAATCTCAACTCGCGCCCCCCGCCTCAACTCGTCGACCCACAACTAAATAGTGCGAAGCTGGGCAGGGCGAGCGAGCTGTAAAAAACTAGAGAAGGGGAGTTGGGAAAAAAACCCGCGGGAAGCGGAAGGAAAAGGAGCACGCCAATCGTCACAACAACGTTTGCCGTTACGACGCCGCCTGCCGTTGCGACGCCGCCTGCCGTTACGAAAACGCTTGCCGTTACGACGCGGGCTGGGTTTACTGCTCCTTGCGAGCATTCTTCCCCTGGGGGGGCGAGCCGCCCTTGCCCTGCTTGAGAGCGGTTCTCTCGATTGCCTTGTCTTGCTGCGGGGTGCATGGTCGAAACCTAAATTCACCTGGCAGGCCTGCAAGCGCCCGTTCAGGCGCAGCGTCATCAGCCCGAGGTCCGCGTGGTGGTCCACGGCGAACACCAAGCGGACGCTCTGCTTGCCTTCGTCGTCCTCATCGTCCTGGTTCGTCAGCTCGACGCTGAAGCAATGGGTCGCCGTGAAACGGCAGTCCGCGTCCTGAACCAGCGCCCCGTACTCCGAGAGGGTGTCGAGGGCCTGGAGGGTCGCCGCCGCCATCGCGCCCTGCTTCGCCGCGTCGGCCACCTTCGCGCCAGCGGCCTTCACGGCCTCATCGAAGCGAAAAATGAATTGCTCGGCGTAGGCGTCGGGGCGCTTGTCCAACGGGTTCCTCTTGAACTCGCCGTCGCCCGCGTCCTCTCGCGCCTTCTTGTTCGCGGTCTGGTAGCGGTCGGCCCCGGCTCCGAGAGCGCTTGCACCAGGCACTCATTCAGCAGCGTGACCGTGAAGTTGTCGTCCCTCGCGTCCCCGAGGTTCTTGTCCTCGTGTTGCAATATCAGCTTGGCAATAAGGAGCGTGAGACGACGTGTGTCCGCGGCCCCGCCCTGGCTGTAGGCGGCCGCCTTCTCCTCCCCGTTGCCCTTTTCCTTTCGTGCTGGACGCTTGGCCCCCTTGGTCATCTCCTCGAGGCGGAGGTGGAGGCGAGGTGGAGGCGAGCCCTGAACCCCCGCGGCTAGTACTACATCAGAGCGAAGCGCACGGCGCCGCCCCAATCGAACATGCTTCACGAGACTATCTTTCCAAGCCGAGTGCTTTAAACACCGAGGGTACTGCTGTGCCAAGACTGTCTCCACGGAAAAACCCGGAGAATTCACCACGACATGGTGCGCGCGAGAACGGTGATTATCAAGTCCCTTGGGACCTTGACGAGGACGACCGCATTCAGGACAGGGGAGTAGCTGGGCAAAACTATGTAGCAGTGAGGTGCACTCGAGACGTCCTTCGGCTCAAACGAAAAACGTCCAAACCCGGCGGCGTGGACAACTCGAGTAGGATCTTTATCGTCAACGTATCCGCTGGCAGCGGCTCGGAATGCAGGGCGAATGACATGTTGCCACCAACGGAGGCGACGCTCAAGCAAGTTAGAAGCAATCGTTGGCATCTTAGCCTGTCGGCGAATCTTGCTGTTCGGCTTTTTGTGCAGCTGCGAGGGCGACCTCGAAAGAGAACGCAAACGCCAGTTCTGCCATCTTTCCAACTTCTGGAGATCGCCAACGTACAACAAGTGTAACCTCGAACGCATACAACGCAGTATATCGAATCAAGGAAGTCCACAGACGTCTCCGTAGATGCCGGCTGAAATGGCCTCTGACGCTCGTGTCTGGAGGCGCGCATGAGCTGTTTTGGCTGCTTGCGCTCGGTGGCGTGCCTCTTCTTAGCAGGTACCGTCAGCGCGAAAACGAACACCCAGATATCGAACGGATGCAACAGCATGTGCGGGCACAGGCCCCGAACAAGACGACATAATCAGCCCTGTAGACTTAGCCTGGGTACTTCTCTGCAACTGTTTTCCCCCTTCCCAACGAATGCCAACAATAGCGCCGTTTATCCCCGTTGACATGTATGTTACCTGCCGGAATTTCGTTCCGAAGGAAGTCGAGAAACCCACTTACTTGGTCGAAGTCCTGCAATATCGTGAAAGCCAGCGAATCGTCGACGAATCTAGCGTGTTTAAAGTCGATGCGATCACGATTCACATGCGTAAGATCATCCAGATGGCGCAACTTCTGGGGGGAAGGGTCGAAGACAACATCGTCGCAAGCGAAGTCAGACTCCTGTTGGTGTTGCGGTGACCCACTTGTTAGCAAATCGTATACTGCAATGGGCAGCGCAAGACTCTCGACTGACACTTGACGGACACCGCGGGACACTAACATATTGCGTGCAGTCCGGTTAGTCTTGACATCCGTGGCTATGTAGCCCGTGCCGTCGTGCAGCTCCTCCACTGTTAACAACACAGCTTGAGAAAGAACAGAAGGGCGCAGGGCTGCCCATATGTCAGCCCGATCGACGAGGTCGAACGCTTTCTCGAGATCAACCAAAGCAACCACCACCATACCTGGTGTCAAACGGCCGGAAATCCTAGAACGTTAACGACAAAGACGATATCGTCGCAATGCCTCCCCCACTCGTGCAACAGCGTCCCGCGAAGCCCGCCCCTGTAGTGTTCCAGACTGGGTGGCCGAGATGTTGGGTGCAAGTGCACGCGTCGCGGGCATGGCAGTGACGTTCATGTATGCCTTCCCCATGTGCCCTATGAATTTAATGGCGCGGTGATGGTCGCGTGGGTTGCGGCGGTCACCCTTGGGTTTGAGAAGACCGACCGCGTCCCCTTCTTTGAAGCGTTGAGCGGAACGCCCGTGAGCCTGACAAGCATAAAGAACTCCATGGGGAAACTGTAGAACTACAGGGCGACATAGTGTCCAGACTTCGGTAACAGCTCCTTCTGGGAGGTCTTCAGGAGGCTGGAGCGGAGACCACTTTAATAACTTGGGCAGGCTTGTAATTCGGCATGCGATCGATGGCCTTGCCGATGATATCGGCAGTCAGATCTCCAATTCGGTGCATGCCTGGGGCAGGGCCCGTTTGGGGATCCAGGGGGGCATCCAAGGGAAGTACCGTAGCTCCAAAGATATCCCCGAGAACCCTCGCACGAACCTCCATGTCCTTCTCCTCCCGGCCATCGAAGTACTCGAAACCAGTTTCTAGATTATGTGCAGTGACCATAGATGTTGATACCTTGGGTGCCAGACGACGGACAATGGCATGGGTACGACGTAGGTCGCCGACGGCATCCGCAGCTTCCGCTTCCGCCACAATTTCAGCTGTGCGCTGACGGTGCTCTGGCCGAACAGCTCGGGCCGCCGCCTGTGTGGCAACTTTGAGCTGGGCAAGAGCACTGCTGTAAAGCCAGGGGGCCTAATAATCCACATGAGCAAGCTGTCGTAAGAACAAATATTTCTTGTGAGCCAGCTGCAAGGTCGATTCGCTCAGGACCGGCTTCTGGACATATGCAGGCGCAATGGTGTGCTGTGGGGCCGCTGCCTCGATGACGGCACCTTCCTCCGCATAGATATACGACGAGGCGTCAGGACAACGACATTGGGGGCCACACTCAGATTCCCAGTCGCCGTGAGGACCCTTGCAAGCGAGTTCATCGGCAACTTGGACACGGAGCTCGGCAATCCGAGGGGGAAGTGGTGCATCAGGGAGTAGCGAACGAAGCATAGACAGGTCCTTTGACAAGCTCATCTCTCTTCCAGCGTATGTACTTTTGGGGGAGGGGGCGTTTTTTGACTCCAGGGCCCGTGTAGATATATGCTTCCACGGGACGATGGTCAACAAACCCGCCGAGACGAACAAGAAACGTACCTAAAGGATATGTTATATAACCGTATGACCCTTGTAAGTGTGTGCAGATATCATCTATGGTGCTCCACCCACTCCCCAGTGACCCAGTGTGTGTGTGTGCGTGTTTCATGTGCCATTGAAGCACGACCGACGACCGTACTCAACGCTTTCAGACCGTACATGTCCAAGAAGTCGATAAAGTTCTGCCCGTTGCGGTTCGTCGGAGGGCCACCGTGCTTACTACCCGCCACCCCAATATGAGGAAAATGAAAGCGAACGGTAGCGTTGGCATCGAAAGTGATGATGAGGGCCCTGCGCTGCGGGGATCTGACGGATCGCCCGTTCACACTGGTCCCAGAAATTGTCCTGAGCCTGGGTGTGGGCATGGTATACTGGGGCGGTATCCTGGCCTTGGGGTACGTTGGGCGGGTCGTTCGTCGGGGCGTAGCCGTTTGAGACGTATCGGTCCCGGTCCTGGCAACCTCCCCTCCGAAACCCAGTTCCTTGAAGGCGCCCTGGAAGCCAGACGTGCTTGCACCGCAGTTCTTGCCGAGAGAAGAGCTTCAAAGTGTATGCGATGAGACAGCCATCGTCGTGCGGCAAGTCGGGATAATGTGGAACCCCTCGCTGAAACATGGAACGTCCAGCTCCATCAGACTGCTCTGAAAGCAGCAGATGGCGACATTTGCACATCGGGCTAGTCTCATAATCGATGCTAAGCGGTCTTTGACCCGGAGCGACTCGGCGTTATAGCTCCATGCCTTCATCCATCGTGTCGATCTCTGCCGACGGCAACGCGTACGGACATGATGTGCCGCCACCTCCAGGGAGGTAGGTGGAGAATTCGCAGGAAGGTTGGGATCTTACATTCTGGTCTTGACCCTGTCGGCGCTGGCGAGGGAGCCCACGGTGGAGCGGTCATAATACTGACCGAGGTACCAGCACCACCCGACGATCAGCGTCCTACGCACAGCTCGCCTCAAAGCCCGTGTGCCACCCCTGCGTCCTATCTCCGTTTTCTTGAGCAGCCACACGACCCACTGGGTGACGTTCACCTAGCTTTAGGTCGGGCATGTCCTCCTACAGGGGGATTTGGGACGACAAATAAAGAATAGTCATACAAATGTTCAAGCATATTTTGAAAATAATCGACAAATCATCCCCAGACGATTTCTTGACTGTTTTTGGATTTTCTTCCTGTAGAGGTGCACGCCCGACTTAAACCTAGCTGGGCCGGCTAGGAGCGCTCGCCTCGCCAACGTGCGTACACTGAATATGCCACGGCGCGTCGGGTTGGGCTGGGACTTGCGACCCGGCACGCAAAAAGGCAGCACGCCGTGTGCTCGAGCCGTCGAGGCTTCCACCGCCCTTCCCTCGGCTTCCGCCGGCGGAGGCGGCCTCGTTTTGCTCCGGCCGACCTTCCGTCGCCCTTCCGCTGCGGAAGAGATGACAACTCCTCCGATTCTCGAAGGCAAGGCCCTGTTTGGCACGCCCCATACAGGCCTCGGAAGAAATTAGCGAACACTCACGCCACATTCGTGCGTCAATGCCCCCCCATGATAAGCATTGGCGGTGGGTTGGATGAGTTGCCTTTCGATCGCAGTCTCCCCCGCGCGTGCCAACTTTGAGTTTTGGGGGACGTGGGAGTGTCCACTAATTGTTTCCCTAAACCGTATGCCATTCGTCGTCTTGCGCACGTCGGTCCGCATCTTCCGCTCCCTCCCTCTCCATGGGCCTGTCGCAGAAGACGCGGGACAGATGCTTGCTGCCAGCTGGCCTGGATGCTCGCTCACTGGGTTCGCCCGACGCGCCGCGAGCTCCTCCGCTGTGGCAACGTGGTAACGCTCGCGAGCTCTCATGGAACTCTGCAAGGGGCTCCCTGGGCCATCTCTGGACCTTCTACTGTGGCCAACTGCATCACGGGTGTCTCTGACCGATGGTGGGCTTATTGTACTGCGTCTCCACCTGGAGGGGTCTTACCCGAGACTGCCGCAAGCACCGTGCAACATGGCGAATAACGGGGGAGAGGAATGGGGTCAGAGGAGGTGCGGGAAGGTACGAAGGAGGACGTTGGCGAGGGCAGCCACTGGAGGGAAGGAGCCAGGACAGGGAGGAGAGAGAATACAAAGGACGGGAGGTAGGGAGGGGGAGAAAAGAGTAGAGGGAGAGGACGGGAGGAAACTAGCACCGCTCGCGAGGCTGAGCACCGCACAGGGCGTTCCCACTGGGTCTTCCCAAGATTCCTTCCCTCTCGTTGCCCTGGGCTATC